GGGAGTGCCAGCAATAGCAAGAGGAGTGGAGATCCATGCAGAGATCAAAGAGGTGCCCGTCCCTTCCAGTGAGCTCTCACTTCTGTAGGCTGTAGGCTGTAGGCTACAGAGGACAAGACAAGCCTCCAAGACCAAAGAACCAGACGACCCAAGACATTCAAACACCAGACACAGGCGTGTGATTCTGCTGGAGACATTGGCTGGCTGACTTGACTGTGTCTGCTCTTCCCTGCCTGCGTTTCCCGAATTTGCCAAGGAAGGCTACGAGATTGCGATGGATAAACGAAAATTTTTCGATGATTCAATTATGCTCAGTTCATGCCCACGAGAGCAATCACCCATATTGAGCTTCGATGAGGTGACTCAGATGGGTTTCCAACGGGGGCCTTGAGGGTCCCGGATGGCACCGTGAGGGCATCAGCCGAGATTTTTCGCTGGGGACTGAGCTGATGAACAGACTCAGCACGATAGCGACACCGGAGGTGGGCAGTGGGCTGTTGCTCGCCTCTGTTTTCCGTCACCTACCGTGCAATTCTGCACGGTTCTGCCCGCTTGCTGGAGCTTTCGGAGTGCCCCAAGTGCCCCCTCTCCCCGCAAGACGAAAGGTGATTGTGCTGCACAAAGGGTGTTGGACCCCCGTGCCCTCCGCCCTCAGTGGTGTGAGGCCTGTTCGACAGTGGTCTGCTTCCAAGTCGACCATCGTAAATTCACTTCTTGATGGGATTTCATTGCTGGCATTCTGTTTTGACCCAGTGACCACCCCGCTCATGAATGGTCAATGGATGATATTCGTGATCACAGTCGAGTCTGGGGAGGGGGATACAAGCGAGTTGATGCACTCTCCCTGTTTGTCTCTTACTCGTACATACTGTATTATGCTGCTTCATGCTGCTTCTGCTGTAAGCTGCTGCTATGTGCTGCGGCGTAGTGCAATCTATTTGGCGCTTGTATGCTTCCCAATGCTTCAAAACGGACTCTACCACAGCGACCCACAGGAATGGGACCGACTATAAAAGTGCCCGCCCCTTGGGAAGGGAATGACTGGCCTAGCTGGCCCAGGAGAATAAAGGCCTCAGGCAGGAACCCAGTAGCTGTGCGCCCGCAAGAGAAACGCAATGAGCTTAGTGCCAATGATCTAAGCCCGTCAAGGTATAGCGTCTCCAGTGCCCCTCTTCCCCACATCCTTGCTGCCGTCTCCCATCTCCATTTCTCTCCACTTTAGCTGCTTCACTTCACTTCACATCTTTCTCCACCTGAAGCACGCAAAATAACCACTAACATTGACAACGTGCTCTTTGAGTTCTGCTCTCCTTTCAGGGTCATAAGGGTCAATCAATCTAGTCTTGTCAATCTCAACAACTTAGCAGCTCGTTAGCAATGGCTAGTTCCTGTCGCGACTCCGCAACAGGAGGATTTAAGATATCGATGCTCGAATACGTTGCACAATGGGCGAATAGTATGAAAGCACAGACACGGCATAGATTCATTCATACAAACTCGAACTTTCTGTGCCGTTCAGTTAATGCTACAGTTCATAACCAGACATTACACATTGAACCACATGACTAGGATCTTCCTGACGCCATAGAGAGCAGCCAAAGCAACCTCGACCAAGAACTAAGCAGACGCGCAATCGAACTTTGTGAGACGCTCGAAACGCTTGATGCGACAGGGAGTGAGAGTGACGCCATCTGGTAACGAATTGCATGTTGATGCCTTCGAAGAGTGCGCCAGGCATGTATGGAACCAAGGTCAGCTTCCTGAATGGGCGTTCTGAACAGCAATCGACCATTCAGAGCCCTCCACCGGGTTTACGGATGCTGTCATTTCTTCAGTATCCGTACCATTGAACAACAGTTTCGACTGCCGCTCTCCCACGATCAACCTTCTGTGTTCTACATGAAGTGCATCACACCATTGGCCCAGATCTTGCACCTTGATAGCCAATCAGCCAATGGCCATCAAGCTCCTATCAACCGTAATGGTTCAGTGTCGCCATCATACCTTGAGGAGGCGACCGTTGCTGAAACCAGCAACCTTAATCAATAATCTTGGGTTACAATGGAACAACCACAATTACAATCCGCGCAGCTCGCCACCAGAGCATTCATTTCAAGGGTTGGTCTCGGCCGTGACCTGGCCAACAATAGAAGATCTACTGCACTGTACCCTTGATTTTTCGCTGTATATTCTACAAAGGAGTATAAGATTCTTCATATCATCGCCACAAGCCACCATGGGCTGGTCTCGACGAGGTTCGTGAGGCTCTTTACATTTCTAAAATGCCAGACTGTTGTCGTGCAGCAGAGTATCAGAGCACAAACTACTTGCCTCGAGGAATGACACCAAGGATGATATGTGCACCTCAATGGATGCACAAGGGCATCATGAAGGACAGACCAACCGCCATGCACTTACTGTATGGCATTACGATCTTGCCCTGCTGTGCGCATCTTTTCTCTTTTTCTCAGTTTTAGAGCATGCCCACAGCCCTGCCGTCCATGAATTAGCGCTTGTGTCAGTTGAAGCGTCGATGACCTGAAGGAGCTTTTGGGCGCTGCGAGTCAAACCAGCCTGTGCGCTCAGCGTCTTACCCCAGGTTCACCGGGAATTGCAGCAGAGCGGGAGAGAAATTGACAATGGCCGGCCACCTATCGTGATCATCAACTAACACCAGCATTCAGAGCCATGTCTAGTGGAGGAAAGAAAACTCGGGACCTCGATCATGGATGACAAAAATACTTAGGTAACTTAGCACAGGCCTAAGCACTTATCTTACTTGATTTATTTTGACAGTCCATATCAAGGTACGAGGTTTTCTTGCTCTCCGAAGCATGCGTCGCTGATCTCTTGGACTTCTCAGTAAAGCCATTCCTCTTTTGATCATACCTGCTTCTGGGGGCCGATACAGCAAGGGGCTCGGAGCGAATCATTCTCTACCATTGATCTGCACTCCATCCAACTGCATCCCCGTCCTGTTTCTGCCGCCTGACCACTTATTCCAACCTCTTTGAAAACAACAAGGTCGCATCGTCGTCTATCACGCCCATTTCGCTGCTCTTAGTCCGTAGTCTCTGGCACTAGCGGGTCAATACTGCCTCTGGGGTGCATGTCGTCAATATTGGTTCCCTTCGAGGTAAGTTTGACAAGACGCCAGTACTATTCCCCGGATTCTTGTGGAATCAGCGACGCCGGGGCCTGGTCGAAGATAGCAAACATGCATAATCTTTCAGTGATACATTGCGTATCCTGCACTCTCTGAAACACGCCTGGCTGGGTCTTACTGTCAAGTCTTATCTAACAACGTTTCGAGGCAGTTTTGACATATCCACCAATCCGACGTATTGAAGACGCAATCGAACGCGATATGCTTAGAATATTGCCTCTTAATCGCCTGTCGAGAGATAATGGCTTTATTGTTCGCCAATCAACAATTTTACTCGGCATGTCGCGGCAATTGTGCTAGTTAGGTTTCATTCGGGCTTTCAAGACCACCTCAATCAAGGTTTCTGCCAATGGCTATAATTTCTACGATGCTATGGAGTATGTACAGCAACTTTGCTACCCGAAAGACCAAGGTGCATTTTTGAGGAGCTGTGAAGATTCACGGCCGAATCAAAAGTTCACACAACAGCGCTGATCTCACGATATGTCCACAGCGCATGGACGATCAATCGCGGCGATGACACCTGAAGATATACGGACTATTGCAGTCAAAGTCTTGCATATGTATGTATGTATTAGTTAATGACCGAGGTAAAGTACATACGGCCCCCACTCAATTGAGTGAATATCCATTGTCCAGATAACTCGGGTTGCATCTGTCGTCACTTGAGCGCCCGCAGCTGCATCAACCAAGATATGGCGCATATGAGGCAGATTCATCACGCAAGCAAGTCTCCATCGTACCTTTTTGATAAGATAAACAGCCGAAGGGTCCCCCCACGATTTCATCAGCTCGTCCGAGATTAGCAGTGCCTGCTGTTAGCTCGTCGGACAGAGCGACCAGATTGGAAGTTGATCCATGGATTTGGTCTTCGGACACGGTTCCAGCCGTCCAGCCCGCAGCCAGGTCATGAACTCTATTAACCAAACTTTCCGGTCTAGAACGGTGAGCTTTCCTTAATTGAGCACAGAATTTTGTCGGCAGCCGTCGACCCCGAGAATTATCGAGTACGAAAGGTTTTCGCCGTTGGGTTACTGCGTACCCTGCGCCGTGCTCATACATGGGGGCATCAGGAACCACAAACAATGCCCTAAAGCTAACGGACGGGGGACGAGGCTCGAGGCTCGAGGCACTGGCCACGCGGGAGCCAGGGAACTCTTTTATCCGCTAACTCAAAGGACTCGAGTTGTAAAAGTTCATATCCTCCAATCTTATTTGGGAGTTGATCCGTAATAGCACGTGTATGGACAGTCAACAGGTCTGCGGGAAGCCCGGTTCACTCCTTGCAATTCACCCATCTGTGGGAGTAGACACACAGTTGCAACATAATGGCCGCAGCGAAAGATTTCGTTACCAATCTCACATCTCAGCAGCTGCCTCGTGTAAGCGAACCGCTGGGTAAAGAGCCAGCCTCATCCGAAAGCTGCATTCTTCTCGTCGATTCGCTCAAGGCTGCAGGTCAGCAATCCCAAATGAGATTAACTCGCAGAAGCAGAATCAATATATTTCCGTGTTGGGGGTTTGTGGCGTTCACGGTCATCCCAAATCGAGGAGCTGCACAGCTTCAGCTGCAGTCCTGTCCAACCATTCAAGACTTGTAGAGTCACATCGAGCCCCAGTCCAGGATGAGCACTTACAAGTTGGTGCAACACATCAACAGAGCAGATGAACCATCTCAGCTGGGGGGTTCGAGCTGTTGCAAGGATTCTGAACTCCAATTGAGAAAAAATGAAGATTGGCGTGGTCTGGTGGTGCTGTTTATGGTGGGCTCACCGATCACCTCACCCTCCAACCAGGCTGCCCAAGCTCTCTGGTAGGTGCTCGTGGTCTTGGTCTACCAGCCCCTATTTCCAGCGAAGTCCGTGCAAAGAGCAGTGGCGGGATCTAAGTGAGACTTGGACAAAGGTCTAGCCAAGCCGCAGACAATCTGCGCACAATGAAGCTCACGAAGTGCAAGAACAATTAATTTCGTTGCCGCTGTTCCTCGATCGCTGCGCCCAGTTCAGCTGCGCTACAGGTACTCGATCGACGAAAAAGAAACTACTAGCAGATCGCCCGCCTGGGATGACGCGAGCACCGTACATAGACGGCGGTATCTTCAAGGGTCCAAGAGCTTGGACAAAAGGCTAGCAGGCCACGGTGGTCGTAAACGCCAGCAAAGATTACTATTCTTCACCAGGGAAAGGTTTTCCTGACAAGCTGAGGAGTTGCGAGATTGTACTTACTGATGCATGCCGGCTTGAGTCGGTCGTAGCATCTGTTGAGTATCACCATTTTGTGCTGTACCGGGAAGCTCTGTGCCTTGCAGCATCAACAGCGGATAGGCTTCGGGTACATCCACCGAGTTTCTCATGCAGGTCAACTTTATGGGAACCTGAGAGGCAACCAACAAACGCACCCAGCCAGCCGCATTCAGGAATTGGGCGATAAGACCCAAAGAGGCATTCTTTGGGTGTGGTGTGGTCTGACTGGAGTGGTTGCCTCGTGCCCAATGGCCAGGTGAGTGAGCCATCTTATTCGTCAGATAACCACTATGATCTGACAAGATTGAGATTCAAGGAGATATTGAAAATTTTCTCGATCCCGGACTTTCAGTCCCCTGAGCCATTGTCGCTAGGGAATAGCACGGCGAATCCCTTACTCTCCACCAAAGCCTGACAGGATACCTGATCCTATGGGTATCGTTAACCACCCATTGACAGTGCCAAGAGATATCCCCAGAGTTGATTGTAGGTTGAAAGCGGGTGCATCAGCCTAGGACGTCAAGGCTCCTTGACAGGCACTGGGTCCTGGGTGACAAAAATAGTCTGAACCTGGTCAGTCTGCCAAGTTGGGCATGATCTACAAAAGCCTATCGCTACGTACCTTGCCGTGCGAGGTTAGAGGCTGGGCTAAAACTGCTAGAGGGCTGTTTAACGGCACACCTTTGACTGGCTGCGTAGGGCTCAAGGCTCAGACTTGCTCGAGGCTCGACAGAGGGGCCGTGGCTCCCCGTGTGCAATTTTTTATGGTTGCTTTTTTCTACGGGTGTCCCTTTTTGCAGTTTGGAGCTGCTGAGAGACTTGTACCAGAAGGTGAAAGCGCTGTCTGAGAATGCCAAGCTTCATTTCATTGAGACTGGGGACGGAGAATGAGATGACCAGATCGGCCGATTGCTTGCATGACGACATGAACTTTTCTTTTCCTTTGGTTTCTGTCTTCCCTGTTCTGTCGCTTTGTTGGGGCCCAGACTCGAGCAAGGGCTTGAAGATCAGTCCTCGTGAGCTGATGCCATCGTGAGATTGGGTTGTGCAATGAGATCGGATTCCACTGGAGTGGAGTCCCAAAGCTTTTTTTTACTATTCGACTTTTTCTCTTTTCGCCTTGGTTCTGTTTTTGACGATGGCGACGTTTTTTTTTTAACACTATTTCGTCATTTTTTGCTTCATTCTTTGTTTGAAGTTTTGTGGATTAGCTCATCAGGACACTATTAAGGTCGTTGACACAACGACTCTTGATCGATCGGACTAATAATATGCTGTTCTCCTTGCAACATCACCAGCACCAGCACCAGCACCAGCACGTTTTGAGAAATGGCGCGTGTCGAGATGTTTCGTTCCTTGCAGCAGCTGTCATGTCACTCGTTTGAGACTGTGTCTATGTCTGTGACTGTGACTGTCTATCCGTGACTCTTTGAGAGGTGGAGTTTCTTCACTACGAGACGCGACCTTGACCTGACCTTGACCTTGACCCTGACCTTGGACCTTGATTTAGCAGCCGCTCTCGCTCAGGTCCGAAGAAGCCGCCTGCACCTCTCTTCCCGCAAGGGGTGTGCGTTTACATGGGCTTTTGATTGGCTCACAGGCCGCTTCAAGTGCCGTGTCATTCGAAGATTGGTTGCATGGACCATGAAGGGCTTCATGATATTGACGGACCCTGGCCGACCCAAGGATACTCTCACTGAGATGAAGAAAAAGTTTTCATCTCCTAGTTTGATTGTCTTATTTCCAGGTTTTGTTATGAAATCTGTATCAGTAGACCTCCTTGTTGTACCATGTGGTTCTTGGACTCTGCCCTGCTGACGTTGGCCCTAAAAGTTGAGTCATGAGAAACATCCAGAAGGTCTGTCTCAGAGGGAGAAATTCAATGGTTGTCTAAGGGCAAGCATTCCACTCATCGTGTCCATCAGTGACATTCTGATACATACATAATCGACAAAGGTCGCCAAGGTCACATCGCTGAAAGATTTACATTTGACCCCTGACATAACAGAGCAAAAAATGGTAACATCCATATCCTCGCTTCGGCAGGCAAAGTTAAAGCAAGGACAGAAGACTCCGAGTCCGAACTCCTGCTCCTATTCCTAATGCGACATACAAAAGTCTGGGGTTAATGTCAGGTCTGCACTCTGCAGTGAGCCGCATGCTTTGCTCCCTGACGTCGTTCTTTGACCGAGAGTCTCGAGTTTGGTCAGCAACTCAACTAAGTCAACTCAAGCGAGATGGAACAGTCCTGGTAAACTCGCCAAGGACTTGACCTATCATTTACAAAACCTCCGTTGACCCTCGCTTGCAGAACATCCCTTGCGTCGGAGTTGAAGTTTTCAACGCCGACACGTTTTTCAGAGACATTCTCAAGCAGGGACCACATGGTGTCTCCAGTATTCAACAACGGTTCTGCGATGTTTTTTTTTTGTTTTTTTAATTGCTTTGTCGCCTCCCTCAACGTCTTTGGTGTTGGCCTGGCCTGGAGCGTTGCATCGTGCCTTGTCTTTGCCTGTTTGCTGACTAGACAGATCTGACATATCACATTCAACGTGCGTTCCCCGCATTCTTTGTGTCTCTAATGACAAGGGTTGTTAATCTTCGGCTGGAGCAAATTTGCATGATGAGCAGGAGGGAGCTTGTCAGCGTCAGGGCCCGTGGTGCCACGCTGCCATCTACTGCAGGTTCTACTGCAACGAGCAAGGATGTGTGCTCTTCTGGCCATTGCTGTACAGTTGCGTAGGGGCACAGGCACAGTCTTGACAGTCACCTAGTTACACCCTCAACTTTTTCGAGTGAAAGGGTCTTGTCCAAGGGGGAGGGAAAGAAAACGGGATTGGATACTGGCATATTGGCCACCCAATCTCTTGACAAACAAAAACATTTTTACGTCGCAGGGCATACAATTCATATTACTAGGCCCCCCGGACTGTTAAGTCTGTGCGATGCCAGGCCAGGTGCCTCCTTAAGCCCCCAATCCCAAGGCCTGGGGCAAAACACATAATTGCAAATTTCTACAGCATCAAGTTGCTGCAGCTGCATGTTTTTGGACAAAAAAGTAAGCTCGCCTTCGTGGCTTATCAGGGAGGGGGGCTTGGGGTTGCCGTGTAATCCCCGTTCCTGCGCTGAGTGGTCACCGGGGGCCATGGGGTTACACTATGAGTCTGGGCCATCATGAAGCATTGCGTCTGCATTCAATGAGAAGAAGGAGAGGAGCATAATCGACAGGCCTGCGTCGGGACCATCGAAGATCCGCTTCGGCCGCCCTCGCTTGGAGGCACAGCGGGTGCTGGCGGCTCAAATGGGAGAGACACAGACTCTGAGTTGTACGTACAGTATATACGAAAAGCCAGTCCATGAAAGAACCTGACTTGTCAGGTTGTACAACAAACATGAGCTTTTTACTCCTCCCAGGGAGGGACAGAAACAGGCGTGTGTGGCAAGACTCAGGCAGCCTCAACTCAATGGGTGATTGATTGCGAGGGGGCGAGTCGAAGTTTGCATACCGTTGCGTTGCATCGCAGTCGACCAGGTTCTCTCGTCTATCAGAGAAGTTTTCTTTTCTTTGTGGTGTTGTCCATCTTGAGATTCAACCCCCATTTGCTATGCAGCTCTGCCAGCTGAGATCGCCACGAGGTCGCATTTTATTGTACGCAACAATTTTACAAAGCCAGCCAATCACGCCTGAGCAACCCCAGACCTGTGCTGCGCCCCTAGACGTGGGGAACTCTAACGTTTGTTGAAATGTTGGAGAGAGAGAAAGGAGGAGAAGGGTGCTGAAAAATGACAAAAGAGACTGGCCGTGTTGCTTTGCATGATATGAACTGCGGGGCGCTTCCGTGCCGTCCTGTAGCTGTGTCTCTAGTTGCAGAGTTGCGGCTGGCTACAGTACGAGAGTCAATGCTGGGTGTCCATTGTTCAACACCCATTCTCGAGTTTACCTGTCATATTGTTCGGCCTTTGACCCCTACTATGAGTGGTATGATGCTTAACCAAAAGAGGCCGTCACGGCGTGTCATGTTGCACCAAGAGCTCTCGCTTTCTCTCACTTATCACAGACGACACTAGCGCTCTCGCTAGACGATGAACCCCGTCGCTCTCAACCTCGCTTCGTGGTTTGACTAATTACCCCGGATTTCTCCAGGCTTGGACTCGGCTTCGTCGGTGGCTTCACGGAGCAAGCGGCTACGCCGTGAAAAGGATGACAAACCTTCTACCGTATTGCGTTGGACAGATGCTCCATTCTTTGTTCGTCACAGCAAGCGCTCGCACTAGAGATGGTTAAGATTGTAACAGTACCATGGCCATGGAAAAGAAACCTTCCCGAGCCGTGCCTTTGCAGCCGTCAGTTGAAGGTCTAGACGTATTCAACATCAGCCACTAACTTGCAAACACGACGATTCTGTATGTGTGTGTGTGTTGGTGGCAGTGTTGTCATGAAGATCCGAGGGCTTGGGCCAGGCTCTCTGACGACATTTTCTTTGAGGCTCCTGTACGTTATGGGATCGTCTTGCATGAGGGAGATTATCACCAGCCATGTCTATGCATGTTTGCATGCTGGCTTGTCTAGTCGAAACGCAGCTATCCCTGGTCCGTAAGATACAGCAGATAGCTCAGCTCTGGTCAGAGTTAGCTTGGTGATAGGGAATATTGATGCTGGATCATTATCGAATTCCAGGTCACACCCCCTCTCCCGTGACCTCGATCAACGTTGCTATCTTCCACGTTTCCCGTTAGTCCAGTGTTTCTCGTGTGATAACGACGAGTCTTGTCTATTTGCATTCTAGCGCACGAATGCTAGGAGGGAACTCTGCACAGAACAACTCTGCTACAATCAAAGAGGGGAAATATTGCGGAGGTGGCGCCTGAGTTGGATGATGTCTTGTTCTCGTGCCGTGCCATGTGACGCATTTGATAAGGCGGCATTTCGATTGGTGCTTCTGCAGGAACTTTGAGACCCTTGCGTTTTGGAATGACATGCTTCACAGATAGACAGACAGGGAAAAGGGCGCATCTAGACACGGTGAGGGGACATGGTGGGTGTGCTGACCTCTCACGGGACCATAGTGATGATCTTGGATGAGGGTTCAATGCGTGGGGGGAGTCAGAGCAAAGGCGATCTGCGAGACTATGGTCTAGGGTAGTGATAGCGGACATGATGCTCCAGCAACTATTCGCTGAATCAAGTGGTTCATTGATATGTTGCTGGAGCATCAAGATGGTGTATAACGAAACTACAGTATGACTAGAGCTGTCTCGTTATAATGAGGGTTTTTTATTTTATTAACTTTGTGTTTGCATTCGACTGACCGACCACCTGGCAAAATGCAAACCTCACCTCATCACTACTATCTCACTCATAATTCTGATACATCATCAGAAATACATCAACCACTCGCAGTGCACTATATCGTGTCATTTACCCAAAGCTACCCCTCTCATCATGCACTTACCCGTCATTCTGCTCGTTAGCATTGGGCTTAGTGGTATATGCGCCGTGTGCCTAAATCGAAATGCTGACGCTCCTATCCGAGACCTGCACCTTGATACCGATTAAGCGTACGTATGTAAGCTGCCGCACCTGTCCGGGTGCTCGCATTACACCGAGAAGGGTGAATACACAACGGGATATCATATGGTATCTGGGTGGATTTGGTGGCAAGTCAAAGGTCCTGTAATTTATGGACCTTGATAGCAAGAACCTTGATGTAAAGCAGAAAGGCAGAATGATCACTTTAATGGAGACAGTCTGATAATAGGGATCGTAGTCCAGAACAGCCCGTTGCTGACCTGGCCTAGAGATGGTCGCCGAGCATCAGTTCACGTGTAGCCTTTGCCCTTGTTCCCTGACTCAGTCACTGCTCTTCACATGATGAGAAGGAGAAAATTGGAAACGGCAAGTATTATATGTTGAACCAGTGTTTCGTCCCAAGGAAAATAGTGGGTATCCTGGCCATGCTGTTCCTTAAGATGGACCGACTCGAGTGCCAGACATACCTGAAAGTTGGAGTCTTTCATATATCCTAATTATTATGATATAAACAGCTTCTTTTCATATGAAAGAGTACATACGAAGATAATTTGTGCCTAGCTACTGAAGTTGTAGTAGGAATTCTGAATTCTCAAGCCCAATATTCATGATTTAACATCACGCGTGAATTGAAGGTTTGCACCAGTTATTTTTCTGCTATTCGCAAAGGTTAAGTTCTGATCTCGAGACCAATATCAATATTGAAAGTGTTAGCCACTGAGTTTAACAGAATGAATGATTTATAATAATTTCGAGATCCAGCCCCTCTCTTGTTGACTTATGCACAATACGTGCGATATAGATCTCAGGGGCCAGCATGGCACTGCCATGTTCATATCTTTGCTTTACCTGATCGACAGCACTAACATAAGTCGTGGTTATCACAATCATTGATATTGATATGCCCGAGAAATAGTCATTAGTGATTCTACTAAAATCGTTACTTTTCCCATGGCCTGACCGTATCATATTAACTGAAGAGACACCGGCCAAGAACGCATATATTGCAAGCCATTTGCAGTGAGACAGGTAGAGACACATGTCAAATATTAGTAAATCACATGAACCGTAAAAAGCAGCAAGAAGCCATCCTGAAATAGCAGAACTCATGATCCGTACCAATACTTCCGCAGCCTCCTTAAGACAAAGGTGGGGCCATGAACCAAGATAGAATCCTTGAGCATCGCTCCAAAGTGAAAACCATGACACTTACTGGGAAGAGTCCACGTATATGCATCCTGAAAGTGTATCTACCCCTTCAAACTCTGGGTTGCAGAAGAAGGGGCGCTGGGATAATGATGAACAAGAGCCCAGGTTCTAAAAATCAATAGCCATCAGCTCAAAGTTGCCCCTTCGCGTGACAAGGTAGGAATGCATATGATGATCTGTGAAACGGTGTACTACGGTGCGTTGAGATATCTATCGGTGTTGCTTTTGCTACGCAGCGAAGATCGCAGACTACCTATCTTGTATAACTTATCTGAGATCTAACGAGGCTATGACTACCATTAATATATGCATAATCGACCTTTTATTCTGTGTTGTATCTTATCTGCTCTAGTAAAGACCAACTGAAAGAAACATTTGTCTCTTGTTTGGAGTTCTTCATGTACTGTGCAAGACAGATCGCTTAGGTATCCTTGATCGTGGTCTCACAGCCAGGAACCGTGCTGATCCATTTCATCCGGTGCATGTTAGTGAAAGCCTTTGTGTTATAATGCTTGTGCCAAGTTATCTTGGCTCCAACAAACTTGTCGATGTACTATAGCGGCTGTTAGCATGATAGCGCTTTGTTTCGGCGGACATCTCATCTCAATGTATTAGCGAGCTTGCTTAGGAAGACCATGGAAAGTATTTGCTCCAGTGGTAGGCTTCTACCATCTTAGCAACTCGTGGCAGACAGCCTTGACTTGGGCTAGCATATCGGGATCGGCAGGATAATGTTCAAGCTCGAGCGCCATCAATCTTGTAAGCTATAGCGACCTTGATAGTCTCGATAGTATCCAGAACATCAAGCTCCGTGAGCTTTAGGAAATTGTGGTAGTTGGAAGTACTCTATTTGACAACGAAAAGGTAGAGCCATCCACATTTGCGTCTTCTGCCCGTTGGAGTTCCCCATTTCCGGCCAGTCTCTTGGAGCTTGGTTCGAATGTCCCCGGTATCTTCTGTCTTAAAAGCCCTTCTGCCCGACGCGGGCCTTAGAGGCCTTCACTACTTCGATTGTTTCTGTGATGTTCTTGGAATTGAAGTTGAGACCGCTGATGATGCTGCCCAGTGTTGTGTCAGACGAGGTGATAAATGGGTTTGAGCTATAAGTGACGTCGAGCTTGATAGCACTCGACTGTTCTACGATGGTGCTATTATTTCTCTCATGAGCGGACTGCATGAATGAGACACCATTGACAACGCATTTTCCCGCGATACTGGCTGAATCGGAATACTTCTTTCTCAATGCTATATTCGAAGAGATCTCCAAGGCAACATAGGCAATCGGGCTCAAGACGGCCAATGTTCTTCATGAACAATTCCAGGTTAAAAACGTCAACCTGACGGACAGCCTCGGGCTGCATGAAGGTCACCAGAACTTCAGCAAGATTCAAGGATGAATGACTGCTTGACCCCGCGGTGGTGCTCTATAGACTTTAGAATAAATCCCTATTGGAGTTTACTCTGAGTAGTCGAACGAGAGAAGATCTTGACTTACGAGTGCTCAATATGATGCGCTACACGCAAAGCCTCTCTGTTTTTACTCCCCAATCATAGCATTAGATCACTGTAGAAGATCTTTCGAAGCAGAGAAACTTATGATTGCAGTCACAGAAGCTACCTAGATATCTTATTTAGATAGGTACATTGAACAGCAAGTAGATGGTAATCAAGCCCAACCATGAAGTGTTCAGTTATTGATGAATTGTGAACAGTGATTGGCTGAGGCACATCTGTATAGATTAAAATAATTGCCTCCCACAAAAACAAGAAGCCAAATTTTATGTGGGAGGCAAAACTCTCCAAATTGAAGACTAACAAACACCTTATTTATAGCTGAAATATAAGGTAGCTAAGGCAGTCTTGATTGTCTCTGTCAGTTCAGAAGGTTCATGTTAGTGGTTGGGGATGTCACGTGCTCTCGTGTCACTGACGTTCACGGCCGGTTGACCTCTTTGTTTTCCCTTTCGGTCAGTTCACATTTTAGCCACACAGAGGCACAGTCAATTGATTTCTTTTCGCAACCACTCTTCTCACCGTTCTAAAAGTCGCTTGCTCGCGTCTGACTTCGACTTGGAAGATGCACGGCTCGCCACCATGACAGACTCGCAGATGCTTGCTCAGGCAGGCAGCAATGAGACGCAGGACAGCCAGCCCATTTTCGAGGCCTACAGGGCTGAGTTTGGTGTCGGCACGGTACGTAGCCAGTGTAGCTGAATTGCCTCTGCACTGGGGTTTGCATCCTCACCATCAAGACGCACTAACACTTGCATGCCTCAAATAGCTCAGTAGTTCGCCTCCCAAATACCTTTCATCTTCGAAAATAAGCACGACAAGCCCGAAACAGATCCCTTCACCTGCGAGCGAAGTAGTTGTTCCATCATCCGACCCGACAGTCATCGATTTAGCAGTAACAGCTACTGCTGTTCACCACGACGCGTTATCGGACAGAGCGCGTCCAGGGGGTCCCACTACCGAGAATGACGATCCGTCGCACTGGGACACGACCAGGGTGGCACTGACACATTCGAAAAAGCAAAGTGTAACTCTCGAGGCAGACGTGGTGAATGGCGTTGCACAGGGCCTCCAAGATCGCGTCAATTCGAACAGCAACGTGAATCTGAGCGTTAGGGTGCCAGCTACAGTGATCGAGCCAAAACACCCTGCCAACTTATCCGCGCGCCATGACAGCCCGCAGCCGCAATCAGTGCAAGACAATGCACCCAAGCCTCTAATCAAGTGTCTCAAGCCGCCGGCCAGTGCTCTAACTGCCGCCTTGCGCAAAATGGACTATTCTCAACAGACCCCGACACAGGTGAACGATGATCGTGATTACAGCGAATACTGTGATATTGTACCTTCGAGCCCTGTCAACGGCGATACTCAACCCGCCTCTCACGAACCTCGAACCCTTCAGGATGATGATACAGGGGCCGTGAATTTTGCGAACATGAGCGAGCTGGGCCGGCCTTCCTCTCAAATATCAGAGGATGCAGGTTTCGACAATACTAGAGGTGGCTGGAGACATCCTGACGGGACCTCACAATTGAATAACGGTCAAACCCCGCACCGTCCTCACGCTCCCACCTTCGAGACGCCTGCTGTACCCAAGAACCCTTTTGCTGCGAGACCTAGCATCGCCGCGCCTCTGGCCGGCAGTCAATTGTTCGGCCAGACGCAATTTTCTTCAGCTATCAAACATATTAGTCCAACTTCTTCACGACCTTCTCCGAAGCTCTTCCACTCTATATCGCCAAACATCATTGAGACATCCCCTTTGAAGAACCGCGCCAATGTCTCATCGCCATCCGATATCCGAACCTCGAGTCCTCAACGCCGTCTCCATGACATCCCCGAAACGTCATTACAAGATCTAGATGGGGGACCTATTAGAGCGGCAACGCCTGTGAATGATCAATCTACAGCTGGTGAAATGATTCCAGAATCACCCCCATCCACTGATCCCACACCTCGAGCCAAAGCACCTAGCTCATCGAACGCCACTGAGCCAATGGCACATTACGAGCCAATGAAGAAGTCTCAGGAAAGGAAGAGCATGGAAAACTTCGTAATTCCTCCTTGGGATTCCGATGATGACTCTGACGATGCTATCCGACGGTTGGAGAGACGAAAGAAGATTGAGCGGAAAAAGGCACAGGCTGCAGAGGAAATGGGCCGCGTTAGCTTCACACCTAAGATTAGGCGCAATTCAGGAGAACAGCCATCGCGGAAGAAAAGAAGGGTTTTGCCAGTTGAAGAGCCTGAAACAAACCCCAAGCCTTCACCCAAAACAGACGGGGGTAAGGGGCAAGAACTGCCACCTCTCGTGGATGACTCCCAAAAAGGGCTGGTGGCTTCCAACGAGACTCTCCCTGTTACATCAACTAAGGCCACTCCAGGAAACAGCGCTCCCGAAAATCCGCAGATCGATCATGATGGAGACATAGTCTTGGTCGATGCGGACAAGGTCGTTGTAGACGATGACATGATACCTGCAACCAGCCCAGCGCCTTCTCTCCCACCTACAGCACCCGCTGAACAACCGCCACCATCTGAGCCTGAGCTACCACAGCTCCGCGTCGAAGATGAGGGCTTGCCACAAGGCCCTAATGAGCATTCAGAGCCTTCATCTTTGCCACCAGCACGGAAGCGGACGACTAGGACTTACGGCCGTGCAGCTCGACAAAAGCGCAGAAACCCATTTCTGAGTTCCTCTTTCTCGGACGGGCTGATGAGTGATTTGGACCCAAAACCCATGCCTATATCATCGCCCCTGCAAAATGTGGTTGCAGTTTCAATGATTGAAGAAGAGCCAGAGGTGGAATTACCCCTTTCCCGTATAGCAGAAGAAAAGAGCGAGAAGAAGTCCGCGTCGCGATCCAGGAAATCTACCCGTGATGTCTATGCGGATCTTCCACCACCGATGACTACTCGCTCGCGTAGGAGCGACCGAGCAGATACAACCCCAGTGACTCCGTTGGCCAGTCGCTCTGTAGGTCAGATACCGCCGACATCTTCGAGTTTGAGTATCCTTTCAACAACACCCCTGCCTTCTGACAAAACAACACCTGGGACACAAGACTCCCCAGGTTCTGAACGACCGGAATCAGTCACTCTGCCGTCTCCGAGAGGCAGTCGTGATTGCCATAAGGAGGAGACTGGAAAAGGATCGAAGACTGGGTCACCTCAGCCAGCAAAAAGAGCAGCAAGAGTATCTAAGCGGTTTTCATATCTTGATTCAGATTCTACTGATGAGCTACATCTCTCGCCAGCTGCAAGTGTGCTTGAAAGGAGCATGGTGCATTCCAAATCTAGCAGATCCTTCAAGCAAAGCTTTGCCCAGGCCCACCGAGTTGGACGCCTGTTCGAGGGCATGGTCTTTGCCATTTCTTTCTCAGACCAGTTCAAAGCACAAGAACGCAAGAAGTTGGCGACGAAAATCACACAGTCAGGAGGTATCATTCTTGCTGAAGGGTTTCAAGACATGTTTGAACATTCATCCATTATGAATGCGACCGATCCTGTGATGGATGAGCAGGACTCATTACAACTTACCAAGCATATTTCTGAGAGCGGGTTCACAGCACTCATCGCAGACAAACACTCACGCAAAGTCAAATATATGCAGGCTCTGGCACTGGGCCTCCCCTGTTTAGCCCCTCAATGGATAACGACATGTTTCAACAAAGGCGTCATTGTCGATTGGGAACCCTATGTTCTTTGTGCAGGTGCATCCACTGTGCTTGGCCATGCAATCCGGTCAAGAATATTGGCACCGTACTCGGCGACTGAAGCAAAGCTGGCCCAGGTCATACAGCAGCGACCGCGACTCCTTGACGGACAGCGTGTCCTAGTCGTCATTGACTCGAAGAAGTCTCGAAATGAGGCTAAAGAACCCTACATCTTCCTTGCGGCTGTACTAGGGCCATCGATCTCGCGAGTATTTTCAACACAACAAGCAAGGGAATTGTTGTTAGAGCATCAGAAAGCTGGAACTCCGTTCGACTGGTTATATTTGGATAAAGGAACAGGGACCGTTGACGCCGTTCTTGCGCCCACGGAAACAACAGGTAATAAGAAACGTCGAAGATCAACCACAGCTCAGCCTCGGATCGAAAATATTCGCGTCTTGAGCGACGAGCTTGTCATCCAGAGTTTGATTCTCGGACGTTTGGTAGAAGACGATGAAATGTATACATAATCATGGCTCAAATTTCTAAGAGGGCGTTTAAGGTCTATCACTATCTTGGGAAATCATGTCGATCACTTAGACCGATGCATTGGATGGCGTTGTAAGGCGATGGGAGGGCCTGGGAAGTAATGAGATTCAATGGATAGCTACTGCAACGTATCGACAGTACTGCACTAGCTTATGCTGTAGCTAGCAGGGACAGGACGCATGGAGTTTATACCAAGTTGTTTTTAAAATTTCGATGTTTGTGTTGCTTGAGTGATATGTGGTACAGCGCAGCAGCTGGTTACATCATACTGTCGTTATGCACCTGGGGTTGTCCACTAGACGGGGCAGATATTCAAGGTTGCCCTTTGAATCCACTATAATAGTAAGGCCTGAAGAAATTTTTAAGGAATCAAGGAAAACTGGGCATTGAGTTTGGATAGGCGAGATGGTAAATGAGTAAGATAGAAGCTCAAGGAATTGAAAGCCAGTGCAATGAGGAGGGCATGTCTCAGAGGGACTTACAGTATCATCCGTATCCAGCATCAAAACGATGGATCATGCAGGGATCAACGCTCTTCAAGGGTAGGGCATCTCTATTTGTAGGGGTCTAACAAGAGGAGACAGAATTGCCATGAATCAAGTAAGAGAAAATGGAGAGCTAAGGATACCTAGGAAGGTACGCGTCGTGAGTTTCCCATTCATACCCCGCGGCCGCTTCAACCTTCAGCAGCCAAAGAACATCCATCCATCCACTCACCATTCTTCTTCCCCTTCCATCGCCACAATGAACGGAGTTTCAGCAAATATATAAGAAACTAGAATCTCGACCGTTCGAGACCTCTAACATTTGTCGAGAACGGAGCATGGCCAATCAGTCGCGACAACGGTACATGTTCGCGGTAAATCAACTGGACTAGTTCTCTTATCATTCACTAACTCATCGAGTTGATGGTGTAGGCTTCGATTGATACCCACATATGGATTGGAGAATACTATCCGTGAAGGAATATAGCAAGTAAACGACGTACTCGAAGCGATTATTGAGGGATTTTCAAGACATATTTTGCCTTCTTGCTCGTAATTGCGCAACCTCAACCTCAACCTCGTCCAACTTGCGATCGCCTCCCAAGATTAAAACCACATTCCTGATTGAGGACTGAGCTTTTCTCCCGGGAACACTCTTCAATCATTCCCCCCCCTTCAACCATCGCATTTCCTCGATTTTCTCAAAGCTGGTTGGCTTGGTGTAAACCAAGCCAGGGGCTAGGGATAAGGCTCCAAGATGGCCTCATGTTCGCGTAAACAGGTCTCAGAGCCAGCTCGCGAAAGAGAATCCTTCAAGTTAGTTGCACTCTTTCATATTCATATAATCGAATTTCGCATGTATGTTTACTTGATAACTGACAAAGTTAGGTATGGAGCATCGCTGCTCGACGATATTACAGACTCGCCCGCCGAAGTCGCGCCCCCTGGTCAGCCCTCAGCCAACGGAACTCTATCCAGCGACGAGATTAGACGACAAGAAACTCCGAGAGACACTGTTCTTGCATCTCTTGCGCAACTCGGACTCTGGAAAACAGGCACTAACCGCGCCTTGATATCTCTGTTCGATCGTAATCACCAATATATTGTCGCCGAGACTACACAACGATCATCTCTTGCCAAGGGCCCGATCCGGCCAAAAGACAAGAATGGAGACTTCTGGCTCTATCCAGGGGCATTTCCGCGACAACTCTCGGTTTGCGGCCGGGCTCTTATGGCACAAAGTCATGACTCTTCTTCCTCATCAGAGGAAGTGCCCCTTACTCTGATACCGGATCTTAGAGCCGATGCTAGACTCTGCAAGGTACAGCACCCGCTATCAGAGTTTCCTGCTCGATTTTATGCTGCTGTCCCTGTACGATCACCTGCTGGTGTTGACATTGGTGTTTATTGCGTGATAGACTCTGAACCGAGAGAAGCCGAGAGCTGGACCGCCAATGACACTGAGGTCTTACGAGAAATCTCCTCTAATATCATGGACTACCTTCGATCCAAAAGTGTTGGAGATGCTTATCGAAGAAGTGTCCGTATGACAAGGGGAATTGGTTCGTTTGTTGAGAAGGAGTCGTCTATGGCGGGTTGGAGGGCTCGAACGAATTCTCCGGCCTTTCACGACGATGCAGCACGGGAAGGCAATCTAAATTCTGAACAACAGGCCCTACAGCAGTTCAGAGATTTTAGTCTTCAGAAAAATTTGCCGGGTCGCGTACCAATGCAACCCAACACGACAGGAGAAACCACCGTTATCGGCTCTGGTGGCCTCGGGGAGGCGAATATGACCAGCACTTCATCGAAGAGTATGTCTATGGGAGAATCCGATGCTAATGCCAAGGAGAAGGTAATTGCCAAGGTATTCTCTCGGGCAGCCAACCTCATACGAGAAGGAATAGAGATTGAAGGCGTCGTCTTCCTGGACGCGAATTTCGAGACGTCGGCTACCGATTCAATGCTTCATGAGGACCAGTCCTCGACCGAGTCATCCTCGAGTAGCGATGAGTCAAGTGATAGGATCGGGCAGGAAAACTCTTGTTGCGGAATTTTGGGGTTCGCTACTTCGACTTCATTAAGCATAAACTTGGATGTAGGTTCCGATATCCACACAACCATGCCAATGAAGCTGCTAGCCGCACTCTTGCGGCGGTATCCTTCTGGTAAAATATTTAATTTCGACGAGGATGGTAGCCTCTTGTCAAGTGGTTCGTCTGAGGCCGACCTTTGTACACCGATGCCGAAGGAAGAATATTTTGGTGAAAAATCAACTGCGGCGCTATCTGGTAAAAGTCAGCGTCCTTGGTCAAGACCTCTAGAAGGACCGTCTGTCTCCAAGATCTTCCCTGGTGCTCGAAGCGTAGCCTTTGTGCCCGTTTGGGACCCCAAAAGAGACCGTTGGTTAGCGGGAGGCTTCGCCTATACTCGGACACCCACGAGGACATTTACGATCGAGGGTGAGTTGAGTTACCTGCGAGGATTCGGGATGCTGGCCATGTCGGAAGCTCAGCGACTCGAGGCCTTGCTTGTGAACAAGGCACAATCCGATGTGCTTGGCTCATTATCTCACGAACTACGTACTCCTCTTCACGGGGTCATGCTCTCAGCCGAGTTGCTGTCCGATACTCAGCTGGATGTTTTTCAGGGAAACCTACTGCGAACCCTTGAGACATGTGGTAGAACACTGTCCGAGACTATTGATCATCTTTTATATTTCTCAAAAGTCAATCAAGTTGCAGCTCATCGAAAAAAGGAGCGCCGAGCTCGAAAACGATCTATTGTCTCAGACTCTGCCACAACAGTTCCTGCGAGTGTTTCGACCTCTGAGGTTAGACTGGATGCCCTAATTGAAGAGGTCATGGACAGTGTTTTCGCCGGTCATGTTTTCAAAGGCAATGAAGCCCACAAAGCTTGGCAAACCGCAAATCCAAGCAAGCGCGTCAATATGGAGGATGAGAGTGATCTGACGGGCGGCCAGTCTGAAGACCCCGCCAAGTACGAAGTGCCACTTGGACACGACAGTCAGGTGGCCATCTTTCTTGATATTGACCCCTATGTACCGTATCGCTTCCATGTTGCCGCGGGAGCACTCCGTCGTGTTGTGATGAACCTTTTTGGAAATGCACTTAAATATACACACAAGGGCACAATCACGGTTGCACTATCTCAAAATCCCTTATCCTCGAATAACCCAAGTAGTCACAGACGCTTGGTTCGCATTTCGGTTACAGATACTGGCCAAGGAATATCCCCAGACTTTCTTCGAAACGACCTTTTCAAACCATTCTCCCAGGAAAACCATCTTTCACACGGTACCGGGTTAGGCCTAAGTCTGGTCAAGAAGATCGTGGCTTCAATGGACGGTAAAATATCGATCGAGAGTGAAGTTAACGTCGGTACCACAGCAACCATAACGTTGCCGTTATCGCGATCGAAAGACTCAGACGTTTCCAATCCGGGACAAGAGAAGAATGAAGTTGATGAAGAGACTAAGCGCTTAAAAGGACTGCGTCTGCGACTGGTCGGTTTCCCTTCTGAGGAGGAAATTAAGTCGAAGACGGCTCGTGGCATTCCCATGTCTGCTATGAAAGTAATGTGCCACCGCTGGTTGGAGATGGATGTCATCAACGAAGCTACATGCCAGGACGTGGCTCCGGATCTCGTTCTATGCAATGAGATAGCGATTGAGGACCCGGTGCCAAGTAGCGAAGAGCTGGTTAGGTGCCCCGTGGTTGTGGTGTGCGCCAATGCCATTACGGCACATAGGCGATCCTCGGAGAGCAAGGCGTCTGAGGATCAGCGAGTTTATGAATTTGTTTCTCAACCGTAAGTGTGATTCAAGCCCCTATAGCTGTAAATATTTCATATTGCTGACTTGCAGTTTCAGTATTGGCCCACACAAACTTGCTCGAATTCTTCATATAGCATTATGTCGGTGGGGGGACTTACAAGCATTGTCGCCGGCTGTGCCAGTACGTGAGGATGAAGAGCATTTGGATTATGCATTCGATGATGCCAAAAGATGCTCGACTAGAAGCAATAGAGAAGGAGATGCCCCTGATGATAAATCGACACCAGGTCCAGGAGTGGCGTCACTAAAACGCCCTGGTCCCCCATCACGAGTTCCGTCAAAACGCCCTTCCCAAGCGACGCAACAACAGGGGTCGACTGTGGCGAGCGAACCCAAGAGTTTCCTTCTTGTCGATGACAACCCCATCAACCTCTCGGTGTTGTGTGCCTATATGAAGAAGCTTAAGAGGAAGTATACCACGGCAGCAGACGGACTTGAAGCTGTGGAGCGGTTCCAGGAGAACCCAGATGAATTTAGTTGCATCTTGATGGATATCAGCATGCCACGAATGGATGGTATTGAGGCCACAAAACAGATACGGGCCTTCGAGAACAAGGAGGGTCGGGAGCCTGTTGTCATTCTTGCCCTAACGGGTTTGGCATCAGCGAGTGCCCAGCAAGATGCTTATGCAAGCGGTGTTGATGTGTTTCTCTCTAAGCCTGTTAAGCTCAAGGAGCTGAGCAGTATATTGAGGGAGAGGAGTTTGGCGTAGATAGTTAAATCGACTCTCGAACAAGGTAATGGATGGCAAGAAATGCACGATGTGAACGAAGCATACGACACAGATAGATGGCCATGATTCGTTAGACGTTTCATCGTGGGATTAAGCGCTGGGCGCAACCTGTCAAGGGTGGAATAGATTATTAGAAGACAAGGAGTTACACTTGTATGTTACATCCATCTAACCGATTGCCTTAGTAGCTATGAACTTTCTTCATCATCATTGGTAGTTGTGCTGACCCGTACAATCATGCTGCACAATGCTGGAAGATCAGCTCAACACTTGTTGTTCAAGCATATGTACGGCAAGCACATTAGTTTCTTTCGTTCATACTCGACTATGGCGAAAATGTAAATATTGTTCGATTAATAAGCATATGCCAAGAGGCAGAAAAATGATACTTGACCACCTACATAGGTAAGTAGTCGGATGTCTCGGAGGACTTTCCACGATGATGTGAGGCTCGGGTTTTTGGTGATGGCCGAGCGTATGTGTTTAGGTTTTTTTGTCACCCTCGAAATGCCGTTGGGTCGGTCATGAAACTTGTCACTTTGGTTCCACCAAGGAGCGGTATTGGGCTCAAATCGTTGGTTTTCGAGATCAGCTATTGCATGTTTTGCTCATGTGGGAGTCCATAGATGTCGAATATTGTCTATATTCGATACACCCACCAGGGAACTCGTTCATAGTATCAAGCTTTTCACTTCATTGCATCCCTGACTTTTGATATATCCGGGTTCTGTGGCAGTATCGACGCTACCCAAGACGGGAATCGGCAATAGTAACATGCCTTATAAGAATTTTAGCATTGAGCTAACTTAGCGCTCGTGGAATCTTAGTTCATTTTGCGAGGACGATGACGTAAAATATCGGCATCGATTAGACGTGTATGGTTTCATTGCATGTCTTGTAGCCATAGATATGGTGCCTTTGGGCTTACTATGAACTTGGTAATGAATAAGCATGCAGCTTGGTTGAGAAAGCTTCGATGGGGGGGAAACGAATAAGGAAGTGTCCGAGGCCTTACGTGTAAGGACAGGGAGCTATGTACATAGGCAACTTGCCGTGCAAAGGTGAAGCCGCCGATATTAGTAGGTTCTGGGCACCAGTTTGAAGGGATCTTGGCATACAAGAGCCCACGCTATGCATAACCTTGAGAGTTGAGACAGATTGATGAACCCATGATAAGATGATCTTGTAGATTACATATGTATGATTGATTAGTCCGCAAACTCAAAATAAATCAGCTTCAAATCCTTCAGTCGGTGTGTTCTTGTTTATGATAGCCAATATCATATTGTCTGTGACATCCGGAAGATCCGGAGGTTGAAAGTCGGAGGTCGGAAGCACGAGGCGGAAGTTTCATCACATGAAGACGGGGTTAAAACACTACCGTGCTTCCGTGGATGATATAATTTCCTGTTGTCCTTGGTATCGGACTTTTGTATGACTCTAGATCACGATCGGTTGCCGCGGAATAGAGTTCAAGTCAGGGGCTTTGAGACGGTAATGAGTAAAGGAGTTTCTATGGGCATCTGTCGAATGATGGTGGTTGATGGGCACGGGCAAACAACACCATCATCGTCAGTCGAATTGTTTACCCTTGGAAGCTGAGTCTGCCCCTGTCTGACAAAGAGTTAGGATAGACACAAGGTGGAGAGATGCTATAGATTAAGTATCCTCTGTCACGAGAATGAGGCCATGTTCACCTTGAGTCAAGATAAGCTCATGAGTCTGCTTATAGCTATGTATTTTGTCCACGTCCAACATGTCACCTTTTCTATGACTGGTCCATTTATCACATTCATGGCATGTCAGCAGTGTAAAGTTGGTAGCGGACGATCCATTCTAACAAGACCCTTGTCTAGCTCGCCTCGGGCTCTTCTTCTTTTTCTTTCTGCGTGCACCTGTAGCCCTGTAATTGGCCCACTGACTTCCCCTAGCTCCCCTACAAGCCGGCATCCGGCAACAGGGCGGGGGTTGCAAGCTTGGGCCCAGGGTATTCCCTGCTTGTGGCTTGTCTTAGTGCTCCCGGTCGACTTAGACATGTCGTGTGCCCTCAGACTGTCATTAACTCCGGGTACAGGCAGCGAAAAATAATGGCCCAACAATCATGAATTACCTATTATCGATCATAGATCAGAAACTGCCAAGCTCAGTTGTTCTGAGTTGAGCTGAGATTAGCTGAGTCTTGTACCCGTGTACTATGTAGCAGTCAATATCAAGTATGCACTCCCCGAGCGTTCCGTCCACCCTCTCTCTGTTGCATCAAAACCCGTCTCTCCCCCCAACTACAAACGGACTTGTTGTGCTGCCTCTTCTCCCCATTACTCAGACGAATCGCATTGCATTGCATTGTATACATCATACCCTTTCTGCATTTCTTTCTTCTTGTTTGTACTCCGTATTGACTTGGCAGTTGGTATCGCTATATCCTGACTTATACCTTTCCGAGGCTGCCTGCCAGTTATATCTAGGACCCCATCTTCAGCGACAAGCCTCATACTTCATTGTCATCCTATAAAAAACTTAGTACTCGACTGTTGAGAAACCTTGTTAGCCATGGGAGTCGGTTCTTTTCTTGAGCCACTCATCGTCGTGACTCTCCTCTTTGGGGGTGCCTACTTCAACAGAAGTAAGGACTACAATTTCTGGACAAACAAGTCAGGAATCGCCAGCATCAAGAGTTATAAACGATCCGATGACTTCCCGAAGCGAGACTCGACCGATAGTCTTATGAGCGGATGGAGTGGTTCGCGGTCACCGAGTCTCGACTCAAGTTCTCAGCCGACTCTACGCCGCCGCAAGCTTCAAGTGCTTGGCTATAAGCGCATCGTGTCTACACCAAACACTCACATATTTGAGGATCGACTCCTGAGCCGCCTTCTCAAGAAGTTGCCATTCTTGGTCGAGTGTTGGTACTGGTTTCTTATTTACTTTGTGTACCAGGTCGGTCGTGCTATCACTGCGTTGACTCTCGATGAGGGCACTGTCGATGTTGCCCGCAGACACGCTCTACAAATCATCCACCTCGAACAACGGCTTCATATCTTCTGGGAGATAGACTTTCAGAAGTGGTTCCTGGCTCGACCTGCTCTTCTCCACTGGATCAACCGGATCTACTCATTCATCCACATTCCAGGCACCATTACCTTTCTTGTTGTCCTCTACTACTTCACCACCACCCGACATCGCCGCTATGCCGCTGGCCGTGTGAGATCTGATACAGTGGCTGCCGGTCCTGCTTTATACGAAGCCCGTCGACGTACCATGGCTATGTGCAATCTCCTTGCTTTCGTTGTCTTCACAAGCTGGCCTTGCATGCCTCCCCGTCTTTTGAGCGATCCTGAATATGAGGGCCCTGATGCTGAGGAGGCCAAGAGCTTTGGCTTTGTCGACAGTGTTCACAGTGGTACTGGAGAGAGCAGTGTCTGGACCACCAACCGATTCTGCAACCAATATGGTAAGTGGAAGTCGTAACGAATTTTGACTCGATAGAGAGCTAACTATGATTGTAGCGGCCATGCCATCTCTGCATTTTGGCTACTCTCTTCTTGTCGGCCTCACCGTCGCCACTATCCCTATTACCGGCCTACGATCTACCTCTTGGAAGCGAATAGTCATTGTTGCTGCTGGCATGTCATACCCAGCCTTGATTCTCACTGCTATTGTCGCCACAGCCAACCACTTCATTCTCGATGCCGTAGCTGGTGCTATGGTCTGCGCTATTGCCTGGAACTGTAACGACTTCCTCCTCAACTTCTGCATCCTCGAGGACTACTTCCTATCCATGCTTCGCCTTCACAAGCCAGTGAACTGGACCGACCCTGAAACAGCTGTCGAGCCCGAGTTCCAGACTGGTCTCCTGAGTGAAGACGTCTAGGGCTTGTAAGAGAGCTTTCGAGAACGAGCCCCACGAATTTTCTTCCTAAATACCCGACTCCGTTACTCCATTTGTTTTCAAGAGGGGAGCCTTTGTCTTATTTGTATAAGTCGTTTCAGCCTTTTCGAAGCATTCACAAGGTTTTCCATGTCTGGACAGGAATGAATCCTGTGGACGTAGTGTTAAGTTTGGCGACGGTGGCATGTTGTTAATTTGAAGAGTCGGGCCATTGATGATCTGAGCACTGGGGGATATTAGACGTGCGCAGAAAGGGGTTCAGTATGCCACACCATACGATATAGTAAATAAACCACTACCAATAATACTATCAGAACGAATATTACACTCTGTATCTTAGGTGAGACTGACTGCCGACACGTTCAAATGTACTTAATACGCCCTGAGTGTAATGCTTATGAGCGTTGACGAAATAAAATAAAAATTATATTTCCTAGTGCTCCTAGACGAATCACACCCGAAACTTGATGTTATCCTGAGCTTCTTTCTGGTGAGAAACAAAAACCTTGTAGAGTGTGTCCTAAACTTACAGTGTCATCCATGATCCTCGGCAGGGATCATGATAATGAGACTTGCTAAAGTACGGGCTGGACTCCCTCAAAGTATCTTCATATTGGTGGCCTCTTGTAAAATTGTATGGATAGCCGCCCTAGTCATTGACGTGGTTAAGGCTCATTTACGTATTTGCAGTACGCGGTCACTGAAGTAATTCAAAGCCATCCCATGCCTCATACTCATGACGACGCAAGCTGAACTTCATCTCCCACCAATAAACTGCTGTCATGATGCTTTTCTGGTAAGCCCTATGAGCACGGGTACATGTGTCTCTGCTAAAACTGCGCTGTTTGACAGCAGATACAGCCACGAGCTCAGGTACCGTTGCTAAGATGGGGTGGGGAGCTTCTGTGGCGGGGCACGTCGTCATCTGTGATCCGTTTGGGCAAGAGACAGACAGCTGCCTTTCACTTGCTTGCGTCTACTCACATGCCACCACCTGAACTACCTTATTCTTCATCATTCTTTTTTTGTATCGTCACCATTTATATACCGTTACTACACACTCAAAAATCTGGCTGTGACTCTGAATAAAAGAGAAGCTGAGGACAAAGGCTACTCAAGACGAAAGCTGCTGAAAGCGACAGCTCTGCTACTTTCTTCCCATGTCGCAGCAGGATTCTGGGGCAGCTGATGCCCCGCCACAGCAGCCCTCGCGACGATCTGCGTCACCATCAAACAGCTTCTATGCGCTGAGCGATGATGAGGAGGGCGAGTATAACACTATCAGAAATGCCGAGACTGGAAGAGGTGTAAAGCTTCTCTTTTCCAAGAGCAAGGTCAGTAACACCCGAGCCTATGTCCTGCGGCAGAGGTTGCGCTGCAGAATGACGGACGACATCTGACAATTGCAGGTTTATGTTCACCCAACACCTTCTTCAAAGGACAACATCCCAGGATACATCGCACTTCTCCAGCAACGAGGCCATCACGAAGAACGTCCTACTTCATCCGCTTCCAATGAATCAGCCACGATCGCCTCCTCGGATCTGCTTCTTGCCTGGATCCCCGAATCTGCCCTTGGGGATTCCGCCAGCATCTACGTCAAGGTTGACCTTTGCGATGGAGACTCACCCCCGAAACAGTCCTACCTGGTTCCTCCCCCGCCGACCGTCACTAGCCATGTTGGATCTGTCGGTGGATATGCGTTTGCAATTCCTGTGAGCGCCGTCTATTCGCTCCTCGTTCGGCCTCCGAGCCTCGGCTGGTGGTATGGATCCGTCATCATCAACTCCCGTGCGGGCGACAGCTTTCCCGCCCTTTTCTTCCATGACAATGAGTGCCAAAGCACGATCCTGCAAAAGAAGAAGATCGCGCGTGATACATTTGATCCTTTTGGAGAATCAGGACAGATGTTCTGGGGTGGCGATGAGGTTGTGAAGTGGCTGCGTCGTTACGTCAAGATTGAGCGATCTGGTGCTGAACCCAACATTTACTTAATTGAGCCATCAAAGGAGGATAGCGAAGCATTCGGCCACAAACTCACTTCCAGCCCATCACAAATCGGTCGTCAGGATAGCAATGTGGGAACGCAGCGCAGCGCCGCAGGACCGTCAAATCGAGATGCAGAGATGGACCCTTTCGTCAAGTTGATCAAGGAAACTGGATGGAATATCATGGAGAAATTCAGCAAAGTAACCACCTTTACTCGGAGAGCGGCTCAAGATATTGTCGAGAACCCGAACTTACCTCCACAAGTAAGACGGCTCTTGAGAAATCCGGAAGTTCAGACGCTTCAAGACGAGTTCGACAGCGCCAGGATCTATCTCGCTCGCTGGGCTATGGGCATCCAGGAACAGAGCGACCGTGATCGGAGACAGAGGATATGGTCTGCTAATGATGTTATGGAGCTTGAGGATACCGATGTTGGCGAATTTGAACTTCTCGAAGGAGCCAGCAACCTTTCACTTGAGGAACGCCGAAAGACTGTGACAATGAAGGAGTGGAATACCTTCTTCGACCCTCAAACTGGCCGATTATCAATCACTATCGATGAGGTCAAGGAGCGTGTCTTCCACGGAGGTCTTGACTCTGAGGACGGTGTTCGAAAGGAAGCGTGGCTTTTCCTTCTTGGCGTCTATGAATGGTATAGCACTGCTGATGAGAGAAAGGCACAAATCGCCTCACTACGGGACCAGTACTACAAGCTCAAGCTTTCGTGGTGGGAGAGGCTTGAAGGTGATGGAGGTGAAGGCGACACTGGAGAGTGGTGGCGTGAGCAAAAGGGACGAATCGGTAAGTTGCTCACCATCTCTCAGCCTTTCTCTCCCGAGGAGTATACTTACAATTTATCTACAGAAAAAGATGTCCACCGAACGGACCGCAATGTGCCCATTTTCATGGGCGAGGATATTCCCCATCCTGACCCAAGCTCACCTTTTGCCGAAGTTGGCACCAACGTCCACCTTGAGCAGATGAAGGAAATGCTCCTGACTTACAACGAGTACAATAAGGACCTAGGCTATGTTCAGGGTATGTCAGATCTATTGGCACCGATCTACGCAGTGATCCAAGACGATGCCGTTGCATTCTGGGGTTTCCAGAAGTTCATGGAGCGTATGGAACGCAACTTTCTGCGTGATCAGTCTGGCATGCGTAACCAGCTTCTGACTCTGGACCAGTTGGTTCAGTTCATGGACCCAGCACTCTGGAACCATCTACAAAAGGCAGACAGCACCAACTTTTTCTTCTTCTTCCGCATGATACTTGTTTGGTATAAGCGGGAGTTTGCCTGGCTTGACGTTCTTCGATTATGGGAGGGGTTGTGGACTGATTATATGAGCGCGAACTTCCATCTCTTTATTGCACTGGCGATTCTTGAGAGACATCGCGATGTCATTATGGAGCACTTGCAACATTTCGATGAGGTGCTCAAATATGGTAGGAGATTTTGGTTAATACGGACACTGATCAATATGCTAACGTTAGACAGTCAATGAACTCTCCAACACAATCGATCTTGAGGCGACTCTGATCCGGGCAGAAACTCTCTTCAAGAGGTTCCAGCGACTTGTTGATGCTGTCGACAAGAAACAGAACTTCCCAGCTCCTCGGTACAATCAGAAGGAACCGTCAAAATCTTCTGAGCAGACCGAATCAGGACCATCCAAGGGCGGCAAGGCATCTGGCAAGGGCAAAGCTGCTGAGCCAGCGGCGCCTCCGCCGCAGCCAAAGACGATTACACCTGAGTTGCGCAAACTTTTAAGCAAGGAGGTGGAAGTGCTCCCGAGGAAAACAGTTGCGCAAAAGGGCGATGGTATGCCAAACAAATGAGTACCTGTGAACAAGTAGTTGAGGTTATGTTGTTTAACGTCTGATGTATGTATTTTTATGTTTTAGGAATTTCCTGGTTCAGTAATTTCTGGCAAGGAGTTCATGGTATGGCGGTAAGTCAGCAATGTTTTTGATATAAATATATATATACGAAGCCCTTTATTACCATCGGGTCTGAATACACAAGATGCATATCAAGATTCTTTGGTACGGGACATAACATGGAGTAAACAAAAGTCCATATTACCAGGTAAAACGCCGCTCTATCCTATCAAGGAACGTAAACGCCAGACATCCAACGTATGCTTCGCTTCTTCTTACAAGAAGGGACTTTATCTGTATCCCCTTGGTCCGCTGGGCAAGCCTCCTCTCCTCAGCCCAGCGTTACCGCCACCGCTTGCTTGATCATACATTCCGCCTGGCGCAAATCGATCTTCATAACCGCCGCCGCCACCACCACCACCACCTCCTCCTCCATTATTTCCACCGGGAGGGTTGAAAGGTCCTTGACTTCCAGCCTGAGGACTTGTTGTTCGCGATCCTCCTCCCCAAAGCCTCTGTCGCAATCTATCTTGCGCAGATCCTCCACCTCCACCTCCACCTCCCGAAGCACCACCAGGTGGCACGCTCGCCGTTTCGGGCCTACCGAATTGACCGCCCGTGCTCTGGTAGCTACCCGCGCGCTGCTGACTTGGCAGTGGTCGCCTATTAATATCACCGCCGCCGCCAGGTTGCAACGAGGCAGGTGCTCGTCCACCTCCAGCCCGAAGACTCTGAGGCGCTTGTTGTTGTGGCTGTTGCGGTCCGTTGTCCCATAGACTACTTAGACCACCGTGTTGCTGGCCTGGAGCGCCGGGGCGCTGGCCTGCTTGTGGTGTCATGACTGGCTGTATGGGTTGTTGGGTTGGTGCCTTGGGATCCGCGGGCAGCCATGGGGGGAATGGGCGCCCCTTTTCTGTGTAATAGCCACGAAGAACGCGGCAGACGTGAGTATCGTCTTCGGAGTCGCCGTCTTGTTCGCTGGAGAGAAGATTCTGGCGGAGAGAGGAGATTTGAGAAGATGTCTTCTGGACAAGGTTTGAATACCAGGACGCCATGATGTGTTGTGTTAAAGTGTGTCTTTTCTAGCTAATATGTTCGTAGAGTTTCGCATCGATGGTTAATCAAGTGGAATGACGCTGCGCCCTGTCGCGCGATGGGCTTGCTTGATGTGGGATGAGGAAGCGATATCGAAACCCAGAGGATGGCTTGAGCTGTAATTGAAGGTCCGAGGGGTGAGCGCAATGTTCTGTCGCAGTCGCAGTTGATTAGGTGGTGCAGCCAGCTGCTGTCGTGATAAGCCAGGGTTGTAAGAGAGGTACTGTCAGAGTCAAGAAGGTCAGAGATGGCCTATTTGAAGAGCGAAGACGGAAGATGGGAGGTGAAGCAGTCGGGTGACGTTTCGAAAGGGATTCTCGAAGTGGAAGTGGGCTGGGGGAGTTTCATAGGTGCCTGAACTAAAATGCGCTGTAGGTTTGGGCGGGGCAATTGTAGGACTCGGTAGTGGAGCAAGGCCTAGGTAGGTAAGGTACATAAGCATTTGTCTCAACAGAGCCTCTCACAAGTGACAAGACCCATAACAAGCATGAAAGGGCAAATGGTTTCAAAACGTTTCAAGTACAACAAATTCATATAAAAGAATTGGCAACCTATTTTGGTATCTATACCTTACCGAGAATTAGCTCAGCAAAAATGAAGCATATTGCCATGTGATATCCTCAGACAGGAGGAACATATTGACATATGCTTCACCCTTCATAAACCCCTTTTTTTTCCGTCTTGCTGAGAAAATACAAACTCCTCAAACGCCGAAGCCTGATTTTTGAGACCGTCAATTACCATGTGAGATCGTTGGTGAGCATCAGCTTCTCCTTCTCCTCCTGTCTGGGCTTCTTGTTCTTCATCTTGATGGCACGTCCACGCTTTCGCTTGTTGCCAGACTTCTCGGTCTCGGACTCTTCGCTGTCATCGTCATCATCCTCATCTTCGTCGTCCTCCTCCTCATTTTCGCTCTCGAGCCAGTCCTCAAGGTCGCCGAGCTCCTCGTCACTCTCCTCGATATCGGAAACATACTCAACCTGGTTCTCCAGGTTGTCGTCTTCCTCCTCACTCCATTCAGCCTCCTCGCCGTTCTCGTCAAGACCCTTGTCCAGGTCCTTGTCACGTTGACCCTCGCCGTCACGCTCCATGGCATTAAGAACCTTCTTCCAGATGGATTCGCTGACATTGAGAGGCTGGTCACCGTAAGCGCCCTGTCGAAGACGCTCAACAAGCTCGCGCTCAATGGTTCGTTCCAGCTTGGCAGCAGCCTCGGCCTTGCGCTCACGGGCCTGCTCACGGTGTCTGATCTTAGGGGCCATCTTAGGAACAAGCTTCTCACCCAATCGTTCTTCCTCGGCCGCAATACGACGCATGCGAGTTTGAACCTGTGTCAAGCGGGTGAGACGTTGCTTGCACTTGTGAATGAGGAAATTAGGCCAGTATATAAGCTTCTCGTCTATCATGGACAATGCCTTGGAGTAATTGCTGGGCAGTTTGTAGCGTTGCCACTATGACGATGATTAGCATCTCGTCACCTTGTATAATTACCTGAAGTCTTACAAGTTTGCTTGGGAGGTGGGCCCTTTCTGGAGTTTTGATCAACAAGTACAATCGATTTTGATGCTCCCTGACTGTAGCGTATCGCGAGTTCGCGAGAGGACATGACTGGCGATTGCACAGGCCTGTGACATTGTGCTCGTTGCGGCAGAAGGTCTGAGCTTTGTTGGTTCTGGATAAGAAGTCAGCCTGATCTTCGACTCATGGTTGGTTCTGGTCCGAGTTTGAGGATCCAGGAAGGGCAAGGAAGGAAGCAAGAACTTACTTGATCTTAAAGGCGCAGAATTGTTGTCCTATAATTTGCCAGACTAGCTCGTCACTGCAGCCACTGAAGCTCATCGTGAGAACGGGGTAGCTGGTCCTGGTGTTGGTGATAGTTTGGTGTTGCTGTTGTGTCTTGTCCAAGTCTCCGACCAGACGGAAGACGACAATGGTTCGGGGTGCGGGGCTAGTAACACCGTGTAGACAGCACGGTAATTATCACTAAGCAAAGTGATAGCTGATTCGAGAATTGCTGGCGAGGTTATTGAGATCGTGCCGCGTTGAGAGTGAGGATATAGAGAAAGCCACAGCAAAATGGAGATGGCAGACAAGGATGAGGCGAATTTTCGTGGCGCCGTACAGAACAAGAGATACTGGCGCTCTATCGACAATACGTTGTCAATCCGGGCCCAGGATATCTTTGTTGAACCTGGATGATGATATGTCGTTTGCGACTGCGATGAGCGAGGTAGAGAGATCTTGGAGTCTTTGGAGTTTTTTTTTACTTGACTGCGCTATCAGATAAGAATGCGACCCACTAACCCACTAGGTAGCCCACCCACAGCACTCATAACAGCCACTTACAGCGTTCCATTTTCAATGCCCACTTTGAGTCCGGGAAATAGTACTTCCGAATGGCTGGCATGCGTTCCCGTCCTAGGTGGTGAACCTGGAAACGAGTACGTACCTGGTTGACAAGTTGGGATAGCATCATCTTGGAACTTGGCCTGCTGTAGCCGCGTAACACACGCAACGTCAACGAACTTCCTTTCCGGTCGCGTCCAACACAACCAGTCGCTTCGCCGCTTACGACTCGATCTTTCTTCTATACCCGATCAAATTTCCTTCATCCCCCCACGGGGAGCTTACGTCGCCGACATCGCCGCATAACTCGTCCTCTCCAGCTCCATAAACACCATCGCCCAAGATGCCGACCGCCGGCCTCAAGACCATCATCGCCCTCTCCTTCGTCCTCGCCGTTGGATTCCTCCTCGTTATTCTCTCCTGCGCTCTGTGGAAGGTGTATTATCCTCTCCTCGTCGTCGCCACCTATGTCATTGCGCCTATTCCCAACTGGATCTGCGGACACTGCGCCAACCCTGATGACTTCGTGGAGAGCTCTGGCGCTGCGGTTCTAGACTTGGGACGCTTCTTTACAGGTTTCTTTGTTGTTATGGGAATTGGTAAGTCCTGCTCAGCCGGCGCAACGCTGCTGATGCTACTGGAATGCTTACCGTGCTGGAACTCACGTGGCTGACTGTTACATAGCTCTCCCTGTCGTTCTCGCTCACTCCGGCCTCATCGAGGTGCAAGCCATGGTTATGTCCATAATTGGCGGTCTATTGATCTACGGAACCATTGTCAGCTTCGGCATGTTTTTCCACGAGGAGCAAGATTTCTAAATGCGCGCGCAATACGGAGTCGCATAAACCAGCAACACTCGGAGTTACCGAGCCAACGATGGATACAGAATGTTGCGTTTCAGGAAGAGGAGGATAACCGCTAGTATAAAGTCTGTATAACGCGTGTATGATCACAGAGGACAAAGGAGTCACATGGGCATTCAGCGGGGTCCTCACGTCAGTCTCGGCTATTCGCAAGGGGAATACTTGGGCTTCAGGACGGCAAAGGGAGGTTATAGTCGGTCGTCAAAGGTATCCTTGTTTACGAGGAATATATCGTATCATCTTCTGCTATGTTCCCCATGTTTCGGTCCTATCCCATCCGTCTATGTTGTTGAATTCCAAACCAAAAACTCCGACGATGTGTACGTTGAGGTATCATGTCCAAAGTCAAATGCTGCGCCTGTCCATCCATCTAATCCAATCTGGCCTCTTGGTTGAGATCCAAGTTATGCCGCGTCTCTGAATACACCCATAGGACCGGCAAGTTTGGTAAACATCTCATCCCTTTCACCTTCAGGGGTACTCAGGATTGTTACCGCACCTCCAGCTCCGATTCTCCAAACTTCTCTGGGCTCTGTCTCGCCCTCTTCGGCTGGAGCCGTCTCACCGTCCCATCTAAACATGGTTCGGATTGTGACACTCCAGTCTCCTGCACCTGCGACATCCATATATCCTACAACACCAGAGTAGAGACTTCGCTCATGTTGACCCTCAATGATCTGTAGAAGCTCGCAGCTGCGCTTTTTTGGCGCCCCCGTCATACTTCCAGGAGGTAAAGCCGCGGCAAGGGCATCCAACCCGGTATAAGGGCAGTGAGAGTCAAAGCTGCTTCGGCGAGCGCCATGAGGCTTGTTTCCATTGCGGCCTGGGAGTTGTCCGTTGACCACAGTGATCATCTGGAAGACCGTGGCATATTCCTCTACCTTCATGAGGTCAGGAACTGTGACATGGCCAACGCCACAGACACCATGTAGATCATGGCGAACCAGATCGACAATCATGAGGTTCTCAGCCACTTCCTTTGGCACATGAAGAATCTTCTCAGCCTGCGCGAGAGTTGACACAGCCTCTGACTTGCGAACTGTTCCCTTCATGGGCCTCATTGAGCATAGTCCTTTGCTGTCGTATCGAAGGAAACGCTCAGGAGAGCAACTCAACATCGTGGCGCCACCAAGACGGATGAAAGACCCAAAGGGAGCCGGCTGTCGCTGTCTCAAGGTCTGATATATGGCCCATGGGTTTCTCCCGTTGTTTCTTGAACGAGGCCTTGCCATGGTCGTTTGCGATGTGAGACAAAGTTCGTAAGACTCACCCGCTGCAATGAAATCCTGGCAAACACGAACTTGCTCTTCATACCTGTCTGGCTGTGGTGTTGTGATATTGATTTCCTTGTTCTGGGCACGGATCTCGATGAAATGCCCATTGACTCCGTTTCTCACCTTGGTCGCATTCCAATAGTCGGACTGTTGAATTCTTCCCGCCATCTTATCAAGCCATGCATCGTTTGATCCTCGAGCCTTCAGATTTTGAACATATGCAACGCCAGCTCTGTGATCAAGAACAATGCTCTTCGTTACCCAGGCTAGACAAATGTCTGGTCTCTTGTGGCCTCGATCTTCCGGGACCATCTTCTTCTCGAGGCCGTGTAGTCCCATCTCATAGGTGATGAATCCCATGAAACCGCCCTTGAAAGCTGAAGTTGATCGGTCAGAACCAGGGGGATGGCTCCGGTTCTCCCAGAAGTCTGAGATAACCTCCCATACGGTGATTGTGCCGTCGTTGAGGCTTATCATCTCGGTTTCATCCTTTCCGTCTGTACTCGGGAGCCGTGCCGTAACATAGTCATCGCATACGTTATACTCGAACCGCAGCGTATTGTCAACTTCGAGAGCTATGATGCTGTTCAATGCTAGTGCATCTCCGTTCTTAGAACTCGATGAGTCAAGGATAATGTTTTCTCCCTTTTCCAGCCCCAGCATCTCGACGAGTTCTGGCACGCCAGCCCCCTGAGGCAAGGTGATTGTACGATGTGTGTATTCAGACCCCTTCGCAAAGTCTCTCAGCGAAGTTTCAGGTGCGTTTGGATTCAACCACAGATCGCCCAAGTGTTCCTTGTGCGCAGCTGCAGACTCCAGGTGATTCGGCGGCGAAAGAGTCTGAATCTCTAGCAAAGGTCCCTGTACTCGTCGTCCATGATATTTGTTCCATTGCAGCGCGGCTTGGAACCAGTTGATGAGGACTCCCTGGGCATTCTTCTCCGTGCAAACAGACTCAGGGTGGTACTGAAGTCCCCAGAATGGCTTCTTTTTGTGTCTCACACCTTGGAGGATCTGTTCCCTTCGCCCATCATCTCTAAACTCTGTTGCCCATGCCAATGGTGAAAACTCCGAAGTCGGCCTCCATCGGTTCTCTTCTGTCCAGCCATCGCTGTATTGGCCAATATCAACACAGAGACTGTGATATAGAGTAGCCTTGAAGGAAGGCACTCCGCAGAATATGTCTTCTCCTCGATGCTCAATCTCCCTCACCATCCCGTGAAGACCCCTCTTGAGTCTTCTCACTGACCCGCCATGCGCAGCAAGCAAACTCTGAAATCCAAGGCAAATGCCCAGAACTGGCAGTTGAAGATGCTCAGGGAGATCCCAAAGAAGATTGAACGCCCCAACGTCTTCGGGATTAAGCGGCGATCCAGGGCCGGGGCCGCAGACTACGGCGTCAAATTGGGCAAGATTATCGATAAACTCTTGCTCTGTCCATTTTGCGGGTGCATCATCGTCGCTGACTCTATCAAGCACTGAGAGGTCGATTCTTATGACGAAGATATCAGCGCCGAGAATTTGACGGAGCAGCGAGACGATATTGAATGTAAACGAATCAAAGGCATCAATAAAAAGAATCCGCTTCGGCGCTCCACCCGAGGGCTCTGAGCCTGTAGTCATAGTCCAGAATTATCTCAAACGTATTAGGAGAGTCTGTTTGAGGGAGAATGGTCCAGATTGAAGCCTGGGTCAGTAGATGAGAAGAAATTCCGATAAGCTTAGTCTTCGGCGTCCGATATAAAAAATCCCAAATCTTTGCCGCTACAAGCCGGAGCTGACTCGGGATATGACGCCGTTGAGTCAAGTTATAAAGCCACACTGCACGGCACACGCGGACGCTGATTATCAGGTGATCGGACAATCAGAGAGTAAAGAGTACATCGAAATTTAAGTCGGTGACGTGAAATTTGGGGCATGTTCTCGTTATTCAATGTCTCGATACAAGACTAAAAAAGTGGCGGCAATGAATCGGATGCATGGAAGGGTACTCACTTCTCGGCGCTACTGCAGGGTAGTCATCTACTTCACAGCATGTCAAGATACATAAACAGACTCTTTTTTAGGGACTTCTTCATAGTATCAAAGGTCGTTGACCGCTCTCTTTGCTGTTCGCTAAATGTCTACATCGCGTCGTAGTACAAATCTCCATTATTTAATCGAGGCCAATGTACAAAAGCCATAGATCCCCATCACCATCAGTGTTCCTCCTCATATTCTCTCTCAACTAGCGATCTCTCGTCATCAATAGACAAGGTTGTCTCGCATGCCAGATCCTTCTCTCCTTAACTCCGAGAGCCGCGTCCATCATCGTTTGAGACTCAGATCTCGCTCTTGTGGTTTCACTTCTAGGCTCATCCCAAACCTGCACCTCTTCTACCGATGCTGAAATTTCAAACTCTCCACGGCATAGCACTGTCATGCCTACTGAAATCTCGGCACTTCCGTGTCCTTCTAGCACAGGGATGAGCTGCTGTAGAGTACCGTTCCAAGCAAGCTTCCGTGTAAACTCCAGCCCAACATTTGCAGGCCGATGGCGAAGTGCAGGAAGAATTCTGACAAGGGGATGGATTTTCTGAGCTGTCCGGTTCGTGAGGCGTACCCTAAGTTGCATAAACTCATCGACGTATGCTACATCCTTTTCAGCTGCATTGCCATCCTTATCTTCGACCGAGATATCAATGTCAACCTCGTCAACCTTGATTGCTTCGATCATTCTCGAGGTCAGCCGTATGCTTCTCAGATCGATCGAGCCACTCCTCTTGGGTAGTGATGTCGTCTTCCATGTTGCTCTGAGACAGCTGAGAACCCTTTCTCTATACCAGAACCCTTCTCGGTTCGCTCGCTCCATTTCAGGTGAAATCTTGCTGGCGCTAACCACGAATTGTCGGTTTCGGGAGGGGTTCAGGGTTGGTATTGTGGCATGGGGATCCTCCAGATACACCCGTTTGACTGGAAGAATGACGCGGCTCGTATTTCCAGGCAAAATATCCTCCTGCACAGAAATTCCATCATTACTCTCCAGTTGCACCACCATCTGGCTGGGCCAGGCGTTGCGAAGATCCACAGACAAGAGACAGTACTCATCAGGTTTGGCAGTAAAGGAACTGCCCAGGCGGTCCCACAAGGGTTGAGGAATCTCTCCATGCACGGGGAGTGCATCGATTCGAGCAAGCTCGACACTAGCATTCACCGTCACTGTAAGATCTAGAGAGACCTGTCGTGTGTAGAATTGATCAGGCATCTCGTCTTGCGGGCACCCCAGATGAGTGTAGTCGACCTGGATCGTAGCCCCTGTGAGTCCGGGCTTACCAAGAATCTCAAAGTCGAAGGTGGCCTCTCCGTTAGGTGCAATATGGCGAGTCTGCTGGCTGTTGGGAAGTCGCAGCGCCTGCTTCTTCATCAGCGCAAGCTCATACTCGTAGAGCTCAGAGGGTGTCGCATCTCGGTTATTGATCGCAGTCTGGAGCGGTTCCTGTGTAGAGTCCTTGAAGGAGAAAAGCATAAAGTCCACTGGCGTCGATGCAAGATTCTGCAACGTCACTGAAAACACTTGCCTCTCACCCTCCAGGATCATGATGGAGGACTGTGCAAGAGTTGTGGACTTGACAATTACCAGGGGTTGTGCTTGAATAGCAGTGAGACTCAAACTTTCAGCCTCGAGCTTTGGAGCAAACGGCT